GAGAGAGAGAGAGAGAGAGAGAGAGAGAGAGAGAGAGAGAAAAGGACCAAGGCTGGGGTTAGGTAGAGAAAGAGAGAGATCGATATCATACGGGAATTTTAAACAAGACATAAAGTTAGAACTCACCAACGATGATGTTGTCCTGCAATTTTGCCCCACCCCACGGTTGAGACTGCAGCTCCAGTCGTTGTACCTGAAACCCTTCCTTCTGGAACACGATTCCCTTCACGCAGCTGAAACAGCACAAGGGGACTGTTATCAAAGAGAAAATTATTCACAGACACTCAGGCACAACTAGTGGCATCTATAACTTGCAGAAATGGAGTAAATAATGCAAACCTTTTTTTTTCAAAGAACACAGTACTGGTGAACACAAGTTAGTTTTTTAAAATAGATTTTCATATATATTAAATACGCTTGTTCAAGGACGTGTAAGGGTAGTGAGTGTGTGCATGTTTGTGCATGAGAGAGAGAGGTATAGAGTTAGAAGGGAGGAAAGAGATAAAGAGGAATGAGAGATAGAGATAGATAGATAGATAGAAAGATAGATAGATAGATAGATAGATGGAGAGAGAGAGAGAGAGAGAGAGAGAGAGAGATAGAGAGAGAGAGAGAGAGAGAGAGAGAGAACGAGATAAAATCGAATTAAATGTTGTACAACTGATAAAATAAGATCCCCCCACCCCACCCTGGTAGAAAATTATAATAATTTCCCTACGAATTACTACATTGATCTGCCATTGCAATTATAATACATGTATCATTGATTTTTAAAAAGTTTATGTTTGTGGTAAAACCGCCTCTACCTCAAAGAACCATGGTAGAATATCAGCCATCATTGTACAGACTGTGCATGTTAAGTAAGGAATAGATCTATACTAATTTCTACACTGCATAAGTCAGCCCCTCAATTCTGTTCTTTTACATACCTGTTTTTATTGTCCACTGCCAGGAGGGCCCCTGAGTCCATGACCACGATATCTCTAATGTCTGGCACCTGTTTGTCTCCGGACATCTTTGTGGTCATTTTCTTTACCAGGATACCTTTGACCTGTGTACTGCCCACCTCTGCTCCCAGCAGGGCTACGAGCTCTACGAAGTTCTTTACAGCCATGTCGTCCATCTTGACGATCATCTGAAAGGTGGAAAAGACAGTTTTGTCTCTATACACAATAAGCTGACAGGGAGGGAAGGGACCACCATCTGGTGTGTGATAATTAGGCGCTATGCTGTCACTCGCAGGAGACCCAATTTCCTTTTCCGGGGCGAGTGAAAATATTCACTGAGAGTCTCGGTCTCTCTGATGGGATGTTGTACTCCTCTTAGCTCGGATTGGACCTGACATGCATGGTAGGAGAAAAAAACAACCTAAATAATATTGTAGAATTATACTTCCTTTAGCTCCACTTTGTTAGTCCTTATTTTTCTTGTCAAGCTGTTGCTGCTAGAGTACTTGATCCTTCGATGTTGTCATGTTAAATAAACACTACGTCCGCGAGCCAAATGTAGAGGGGAGATTTTAAAAGTTACTACAAAACGCTCTTTAAAACTTGAGTAGCCAGTCTGCTGTTAAGAGCATTGCATATTATGTATAAACCTGCATATGTTCTAAAACAAATTAAATGGTTTTAAACTGGATGGTTGGACTCTTGGGTCCATTCATTCAATGGCAACGTCCACGAAGGACTGTCTATAATAAAAATGCATTTAAAGAAGCATCTTTACTCCATTGCTGGCCCAGTGATTTATTTTAAGACCATACCTTGGGCTTGGGAGTCTCAGTAACCTCTGCATTCTGCTGAATCATGACGTCAGCCTGATGACACAATCTGTCCGCGTTCTCGATGACGTCCAGGTCACTGGCGTGGTTGATGAGCTCGCTGATGAACTCTGTGTTCGTCTTCATCGCCACACGGATCTTCTCCATCTGCTTTGAGAGCTCGTCGAACTGAGGAATGTCCTGGCTGAAGTGGCTCTGAGGGGAAACACAGTAACACACGAGTTTGTAATTGTGTGGTGGTTAAGTTAGTTCTATTATTTGTTTGTTTGTTTGTTTGTTTGTTTGAGTAAGAAGAAACTCCTCGACACAGTAATGATCATAGAGCTGAGGAAAAAACAAAGATAGACAGCCCAAAACGTAAGAGGGGAAGTTAAGAAGTAGGACCTACCAGTGGTACCCTTCAACCACTCGTTAGTTCTACTAAACCAGTATTTGACGCATTTTTATAGCCAGCGCCCACTTCTTAAGAGGCTAACGCTTTCGTACTGCTTACCAACATGTGGGCCATATAATGGTGTATTTCACTATCCGGGTGACCCTCAGTGCCCGCCAAAATTTTAATTACCAGATCGCTCATTTGTGTGCGATATCGCCCTCAATGACAATGACAAGCATTGTACACAGGACAAAAGCACGGCATCTTACGGTGTCCTAATAGAAGGGTGGGTTAAACAGAAAAAAGCGATGAACTTATAGTTACAATAAAGGACGAAACTGACATTAGAAGGGACAGATTAAATAAATAAATATGCGTGTGGGGTGTGCTGATTATGACGTTTGTATGAAATACAAAATAATGTCTTCGCGATTGCCTTAAAAAACCCAACAACAACAACACCCCCCCCCCCCCCAGAGGAAAGGTAGGATGGAAGGGGGGGGGGGGGGGGGGGGGGGGGGGGGTGTTCTGCACAAGTGTACAAATAAAATAAAAACAGAAGCTACAGAAATGTGGATTCTTAGGAGACTTCTGAGAATATCACGGAAGGAAAAGAAATAAAATGTGGTAATGCTTGATGAAGCCCACGTGAGACGCTCACTGTTAAAAACAATCAGGAAACGACAAAAGCAGTTTTTGAGACACCTGAAGAGACGTAACGGTCTTGAACATCTAACTCTCTCTGGCAAAATCGAAGGCAAACGAGGCGGGGTAGGCCCAGAGCAACCGACTTAGGGACCCTAAACAAATGGGTAACGGGGAAAGATCAGGGAAACGTAGCTTTTTTAAGAGCATCCGAGCAAAGGAATGAAGGGAGAACCATGATCGCCGATGTCTGCAGCAGATCTGGCACTGGATGATGATGATGTATAAATAAAGTAAACAATGGATAAGTAATAGGGTGAATGAGAATGGATCCCACACTTTGTGATAAAAGTGAGACTCAAAAGCACAAAGTAATCCTAGGGAGTGTTGCAGTGTATGGCAGAGTACTGAAGAATTGTTAGATGGGCGAAATGAAAATAAGTACTTTCTCTTGGATCCCTTATGGGAACATTACTCCCAAAACTCAGACGTTATTTTCACATCACATGCTGCACATAAACAATCTACTTGGAGAACCTAAACATATGAGAGAAGAGGAAAGGTCAGGATTTTGTAACTTACTTTTTATAGCATCTGAAAAAAGGAATGAACCGAAAACCATATCTGTTGCAGATATTTAACTTAATAATAATAATGATCACACTGTCTTACCAATGCAATAAAAACTAATTCCCTTACACTAAAACGTTAAACATACATTGAGATCTTTCATAAGCTTCTTCTTCCTGGAGTGCAAGGCATCAGAGACAGCGTGGAAGGCCCCATCTATCTCATGGACTGCTTGCTTCTTGGCTTCAGCTATCTCCACACCGTCGGCTTTGAGGCGTTTGCTGCTGTCTTCACATTTCTCGATGCCAGCCTAGGCGGAAGGAGAGGGTTGAATCATTTTTCAAAACAATATAGAGAAATAGCAGCTACTTTTCGCCAGAAAGCAGATGAAGACAAGAATTGCTGTGAAATCCTTGAGTACAATCTAAACACAAGCGATGGGCGAAGGATGGAGAATGTTGATGCAAGGTAATAAAGATGAGTTATGCTAAAATATTCAAGATGGGGGTGAGGATGGGGGAAGGTTACTAGTTATGTCTATAAAATGGACGGGTCTGGGAGTGAGGGCAGGTGGTAGAAGTAAGAGGAACTAAAGGCACATCAATTGTGGACTTTATTTCTGATACGTTTACTGTACTAATCTGCAGTATCATGCGGCCACTCAAACACTAATAGCAACACGAGCAACATACAGTGACAGGAACTGGTAGAACAACATTACTTTTTATTTAGAACACTTATTCGATCACTGGCGTCTCTGTAGTGTAGTGGCTAGACGCTTCATCGCAGCCTGCAGACGGCTTAAGTTCGGCCACCGTGTGGGGAGTTTTTATTAAGCATCTCAGTCTTAGTGCTGAGACATTAATTTTAATCCCTTTCAGCCCGGATTGGCCCAGGAAGACAGGGTCAAAACTCGCCTCCAGCATGATCTAAATTGTGTTGATGGTAACTTAAAACACGTATATTACAAAACATAATATTTTCCTTGATAACAATTGATGACAACTACGAAGGCTCCACAGTTTAGTCCCCTCGAAAGGCAAGGTCGGAGGCTCGCCGTCTCAAAAATCTAATGTTTGTCGATGGGGTGTATGTAAAAAACCAACATTAAAGAATAACTTTACAATTTAAGAATAACTTTACAATTTGATTTGGGTATCAAACGACCTACTTTGACCACTTTCTCTGTGTCCTTGAGCAGTTTCTTCTTCTGCTCCGCCACGTTGGCGATGGAGCTCACGTTCTTGCACTTCTTGTGGATGGTGCTGGCGCAGTCCGGACACATGGCCTTACCACAGTCCTACAAGAGAAATTATGATAACAATAATAGATTGCATTTAGATAGCGCTAGATCCGCCATTCACTCATCCCCTCACCTATAATGAGAGAGAGAGAGAGAGAGAGAGAGAGAGAGAGAGAGAGAGAGAGAGAGAGAGAGAGACAGAGAGAGAGACAGAGAGACGTGAAGAGAGAGAGAGAGAGAGAGAGAGAGAGAGAGAGAGAGAGAGAGAGAGAGAGAGAGAGAGAGAGAAAGTGGGAGGGGGAGAGAGATAGAGGAAACGTGTGTGTGTGTGTGTGTGTAGAAGGGGGGGGGGTATGTCCAAGGTGGAAAAAATAAATAATTAAAAGTAAAAAGAAAAAAGAAACGCAAATATACCTCTCGATATGCAGTACCGATAAAAGAATAGCCATCTGTCCTTTTCAGCAGGTCAGATGTTTCATTCATTTATGTGTCCTTTCATTTTGTATTCAGTCAAGTTATTTTAGAATTAATTATTTATTCGTCCATTTAATTAACATGTTTTCTAATTTTTTTCTATGTTACTTGGCTTTTTCATTTATTCTGAATTTAAAGGACCAAGAATCGTTTGTGGGAGGAGAGGTGGGTAGTGCTAAAGACATTTACGTAAATAACAAAAGAACAGAAAATTAGATAATTCAACTACATGTATTCTTACTTGCAAAGTGAAAACCAAGCCATGCTGGGAACAAATGGATAAAACCAACTTAAGTCCCGCGCATTTGTGACATGCAGTAATGCTGTTGACTGCGCCTGCGCCGTGAAACTTTAACCAAACTGAAACTGAAACTCAACAAAAAATGTATTCTCACGTTACAGAAGAGCTCGAGGTTCTTCCCCTCGTGTATGGTACAGCTTCGCTTCTTATTCTTGAGCAGCTGCGTGGGCGTGAGCTCAGCCAGGGAAGCCAATGTGTGGTGCTGCATCTTGGGCATATGTCGGTGAGCCTCGTCACAGTTGTCGCAGAAGTACGTGTCACACTCGTAGCAGAACATGGTAGCGTCCGTCACCTTGGGATGAGTGAATTGGTTGAGGTATGGGTGGGATGGCGGTTGATGGATAGTTTTAACTACTGTAGATAGAGCGATGGATGGATGGATGGACAGATTGTGGACGGATGGATAGATGCGTAGATGGATGTGTGGACAGAGGGAACCACTGTATACAGATAAATGTATAGCCATTGCAGACAGATAAATATACAGATGGATGGATGGGTGGATTGTTCGCAGGCTGGCTGGCTAGATAGATAGATAGATAGATAGATAGATAGATAGATAGATAGATAGATAGATAGATAGATAGATAGATAGATAGATAGATAGATAGATAGATATTACTTGTGCATTTAATGTGAATATTGTACCTGCTTCCGGCTGTCGCAAACAAAACATAGCCGCTTTCCTTCCAGGCGGGTCACTGCTTCTTTGAGGTTGTTCAGGAACTGGTCTGTAGGGAACTGCTTGGCCCACTGTCGTTTTGGTTTGTCTGGGTTCGGAACCATCACAGGGCTGGTTGGGAAAGGGGAGGGGAGATTTAAGCGCACAAATATAGAACAATTCGAACAAAAAAAATCAACAGATAATAGTTGATGTAATAGTTGCCGATCACACAACATGCAACTGAAAAATAATCAGCTAGATGCTAGCTCCTTTAAGGGAATCGTTTAAAAGGAAAGGAGACCTATCATTTATAGTCCGAACCTTTATTGCAACACTAGTTCTTTGCAACATGTTCGTCAGCTAATGTTTTCTTCGCAAGAAGAGAGTTGGCTTCCGCAGACAACATACCAACAACCATGTCGTATGATAAGCCCATTGCAGTCCCTCTATAAGCTCATCGTCATCTCATTTTTCACCCTGCACCAGGGTATACGCCGCGGACAAACATTGTCCACCTTTCTCTATCCTGGGCTAGCCTCTTGATGTTATTCCATGTCTTTCCATTTTTCTGTACATCGATTTCTGTGATTCTTCTCCAGGTTCCGTGTAGTTTTCTCCTTGATCTTTTACCCAGTGGATTCCAATCCGACACTTTCTTTGTTATGCAACTGCCAGACTTCCTGATAGTATGTCCAATCCATCTCTACTGCCTTCTTCCTACCTCATCTCTGACTGGGATTTATCTTGTTTTCCTTAACACGTCCTCATTGGTGACCCTTGCCCGTCTATCTGATCCTCAGTAACTTCCTTAAACACTTGTTCAAGAAAACCTGGATCCTCTTTGTGATAGTCTGTAATGCGTTCCGTTCTATAAACTCTATAATTTAGTAAATAGATGATTTCAAAAGTAACAGAAAAATGCTTTTCACTTTCACTTCTTGTTAAGTACCTTCAAACCTGTCTAACGGCCAACTGTCCAAGATACTCACGAGAAGGCCTACAAACGTCCATTTCAACTCTCCACCACTACTTACAGTTTAAAAAAATTACACTAGCACAGTCCAACACGTTCACGCGTGTAAGATGACAACTTTTCTCCTCACCAAAAAATGATAGACGTTTTAGACAATTTCGACTTAACATTTAAATTAAATCAAGGAATCGTTCAAATGGGGATAAATAAGACATGGCCATATGCGTCTAATGAGGATGGGTGAACAATTTTGATTATGTAACGAATGGGGATAAGTAACAAAAGAGCTTGGGTAACTATTGATTGACTGATGTGGATTGGTGACAAATGGGTTATAAATGGGGGACACATGGGGACGTGTAACAATTGATTGACAAATAGTGATTGGTAACAAATGGATAAAAAGTTGGTACTCGTAACAAATGGATGGCTCAAGGGTAACAAATGGGTAACAAAATGGGTAACAAATGAGTGACAATTGAGTAAAAAAAAAAAGGGTAATAAATGCACTGAAATGCATAAAAATGGGCAACAAATAGGTTACAAACGGGTAACAAATTAATAGCCTACCAATCGATAACAAATAGGTAACACAATGGTAACCAAAAGGTAACGATTGGGTGACACTTCTGAACTGGTAAAAAATCGGTAACCGATGGATGACTTGTGGGGATGGGTAACAATTACATACCGGTTGCAGACTTTGCAGAAGATAAGACCTGTTTTGATCTTGTCGATCATCTTTTGCAGGCATTCCACACACATTCGCTGACAGCAGACGATCTTTGGCTCAACAAAGCGTTTCTTACAACGCGGGCACTTCAGTAGTTTCTCGTAATCGTTTTTGTTTTTGGTTCGATCACGGTGTTTCCTCCTTTTTTCCTGGTGAACGAAAAGCATAATATTATTGTTTCGTTACATACATACATACATACGGGAATAATATTACCTAAATAGTCTCTAAGAGTTTTACATCAACGCACATTAATTTTTTTTTTTACAAAATAACAATTTTGTGTACAGTTTAATTATATTTAAATATTCATTGCAGCTTTTCTCCTCTGCTCATTATCAAGTATGGAAATCCATAGAACGAATTGCACGGAGACGACAAAACTGAGAAAACTATCTCTACACTTTCACCCACTCTCTGTCTTCTTCTCGCTCCCTCTCTTTCTCTCTCTCACTCTCTCACTCCTTCTCTCTCCCATTTTCTCTCTCTCTTTCTCTCTCCCATTTTCTCTCTCTCCCCCCCCCCCCCCTTTTCTCTCTCCCCCCCCCCCCCCCTTTCTATTTGTCTGTCTCGGGATCTAACCATTTAATTTGGAACCTCAAGATCTTTAAAGAAAACTTTCAATGTGGGATGCTGTGGTAGTACAACTACTATAACAAGCTTCAGCAAGGTATACCTTATAATGTGGGCTATTTAGACGAAAAGCCACGAAAAAGAAAGTTGCAGAAATGATTAAAAGTGAACAAAGGGTCACATTGTAGATTATCAGAGACATAACACTGTCTACCTATTGGGTCATACCTTCTTTTTCTCCTTTGCTTCACCCTCGCCTTCCCCGGTGACACCTAGATCTATTCCACTGTCAACTATGGAAGCGGGCTGCTCAACTGGAACAGGCTGAGAGGCGGAGCCGGAGGGCGCGCCAATTGTGGTCGTTGTAGTCGCTGTTGAGGGAAAAAGTCGATGGTTCATTTGTGTCTTGGCACGGTGGAATGAGGTTCTCGTCAGTTTTGCGGCATATGGAGTTATTGGAAACATATTTAAACGCTTGTTAATTTGACTTGTTTTTAAAAAATGAAAACACAACCCATTGTTCACAAATAGAAGTTGAGATATTATATTTGTGATATCTAGTGTCAGGGGTAAAATTTTCCAGAAAAGGGCCGCCAAAATTTGATGAATTTGAAAATTTGGGTGTCCTTGGAAACAGCAAATTAACATTTTTGTTTCTGCCTTTGATCAACGTTTTAAAATAAAATCCGTAAAGAAATCTATTTTTGAATGGACATAAATGATGTTGAGCAAAAAACAAAATTGATTTTTAATTGCCATTTCTCTTTCATCTCTCTCCCTCTTCATCTCCCTTTCTCTCCCTTTCTCTCCCTTTCTCTTTCTCTCTCTCTCTCTCTCTCTTTCTCTCTCAAGTCTCTCTCTCTATCTATCTATCTATCTATCTATCTATCTCTCTCTCTCTCTCTCTCTCTCTCTCTCTCTCTCTCTCTCTCTCTCGCCCCCCCCCCCTAACACTTTTCCTGTCTCACATTCTTTCCTGGGCGTGCTCGTCATGTTTAAGTTGGAAGATTTGATGATCGTTTTGGCGAAGGCGTCTGGATCAAAAGTGGGTCTATCTTTTTGCCCTCCCTGAAAGGAAGACACAATAGGGAACAAGGTCAACGTTCTGCATCTGCATCAAGGGTGTTCAGTAGATTTTCGCAAATCTAGAAGTGTGTAGATAGATAGATAGACAGACAGACAGACAGACAGACAGACAGACAGACAGATAGACAGACAGACAGACAGACAGACAGACAGACAGACAGACAGACAGACAGACAGACAGACAGACAGACAGACAGACAGACAGACAAAAAGATTGTCTGACCGTTTGACACAGAGTAAGAGATAGAAGAGATAGGGATGTCGGGGGGGTTGGGGGGGGGGGGGAAGAAATAGCAATAAGTTTTAATGTTTTGTTGTTAGTTTGCCTTCTCATCTTAGTTTACATTTTCATCAGTCAGTCTTTGATATTTTCCCATTTCATTCTATCTCTATCATGTAATTCTGACAATTTGATATCATTACTGCCATGCACTGCTTCTTTCCCCTTTCTCTCTCTCTCTCTCTCACTGTCATTTCCCTGTTCCCCACCTTTGTCTTTCTCCCGCCCTCTCATTCTCTGTCTGTCTGTCTGTCTCTCTCTCCCTCCCTCCCTCCCTCCCTCCCTCCCTCCCTCCCTCCCTC